CTTGTGCCGCTATTAGCCTTATTTGCGACTGTCTCTGCTGATGAGTTCGAGTACGAATCCGAAGCATCAGGCGTGCGAGTTGCCGATTTGTGTGTCACTCCAGTTATCGCTAGCATTAATGAATTCCAGCTGCTATACTGGGTAGGGCAGTGGCGTATGACTCTCCGTATTGCACATGCCTTACACTAAATTCCAGTTAGGTTAACGGATAGGACTACGGCGTTCAGTGTTACGGTTAGCAGGTAACCCCGTTGGGGTTCGGTTCAACGTTAGGACATGGAAATAGATATGAGCGCAAGTTCGGTTGTAGTGTGGAGGGGGTTCATATTTCTATTTTAGATAACGTAATGACATCGAAGTACTAGTGTTACTCCCTGAACATTATTTACTCATTTCTGCTATTGTCCCTGTCTCTGGTGAACGACCCGCGACGGATTTCGAAACGTCAGGCTAATAAAAGTCTTGTCCCAGCGATCACAACACGATCATCCTCATCATCATAATCGTCGTCGTCGTCGTCGTCTCCTCCTCCTTCTTCTTCTTCTTCTCAAATCGAAGTACATTTGGCAGCCATCTCGTTGCTTCCAAAATGATTGCTTAGGAAATCCTGCCTGAACAGTCAGCTTACTGTATCAGTATGGGTGGATTACCTGCGTTGCAGCAGGCTGGGCGGGTAAATTGATTTAAGTGAGATTACGGCTACTGGTGGGGTCCTCATAGTTCAGTTAGCTAGAGCGTTGGCTGCACTAAAACCTGCTCGTTGCTGGCGTGGGTTCGAATCACACCGAGATCGCCGAGTTTTTACAATTGGCTTAAATGAATATTGGAGTTCGCATCGAATCTGACTAATTTTTCTCCACAGGATTTAATCCTGATTTGTTGATTAATTTCTACAGAAATTATAAAGTTGAAGCTGGTGCTCATCGAAAGAAATCTAATAAAATATTAAAATACTTCTTAAGAGGACTTCAATTGTAGTCCTATGTGCATAGCGAGTTGGGTACGTCTGAGACGCCGCTACTTTTGTACAACAGTACATAAATATGAAACTAATCGATTAATTACTTAAGCGTTTCAGTTGTGTTCGCAGGCTCGCATGGAATTGATTGCCTCAAGCCGCCGACAAGGAATAGCACATATCTAGACTACCTCCAAAAACTCGTTGCCAGAATTGCCAATTAGCGATAATGGCGGTTCTATTTAGTATGCCTGTGTTTCACACGGGGTTAACTATTATTCGGGCAGGCGTCTTTTACCAAGTTTAACAGAAACTTTCCCCAATTGGCAGGCCATACACAAATTCGGTTTCCCCGCCCCGTGCTGGAAAACGAATGGTCAGTTTACCCGAGGGCTAGCACAGTTACCAGCTTGCATGCATATTTAGATGTTGCTTTAAGAGAACTGCGAACCTATCGGCCGGGAAAGAACATAACAGGGGACCTGGTAGACGTACTATGCCAATAATCCCCGAGTAAATTGATTGGATTCAGGGAAACGCTAGGTGTGTCCGTATTCGGCGTCTCTGAAATGCTGTAGATAACTAGTAGATGGTGGAGCTTTTCAATGCCTCATTCAGCTGCAGAGATGGGACATCCAGCGGAGGGATATGGTGGCAAGCAAACGCCCAATGGCGGAGGAACCTATTAATCTTCAGCAAACCACGGGCCGGCTATTCTACATGTAGTCCAATCGCAAATGCGGGCAGATATAAGGGCTTCGTTTATGGATTGGCTCTCCAGTCCTAACAAGGCCTTAGGGGTCGCAGGATGACCCACCTGCATACCCATTGGCTAAATAGACAGGTAACCAATCAAAAATTAGGTACCCGGCGTCGCAGCGGCCACGACTTTCGCACCTTTCATTTCACTCCCGTAACAATGTCAGAACAGTCGTCAAAGAAGCACCCGATTCAAAAGCACGGAAGAACCTTTGCGGAGCATCATCGTGGTCTGGTGACAGACTTAAAAGCCAGCACCTCCCATGAAGCTGACAGTAAGCCATCAACGCAAGTTGCGCCCGTTGAAGACTCCAGTTGGGTTCGCAGTCATCCCGACTGGTTCCCCCAGTTAAACCGATGGATCGATCACGCCAGTAGGCAACTGTCCTCCGACCTGACGGTTATGCCTCAAAACTTCTTCACTCTGCAGGTAAGCAATATTCATGTTAATGTTTGAGACGGTTTTTATGTTCGTCATCTGTGCCAACTCGAGACTATTACATTTACTTTTTTCTGTTAGCCCCTTGAGGTCTCCGGCATGAACTTGGGTGATGCACCCACCGCCATGATGTTCGCTGATCGCCAGATGGCGAACCTACGTCATGAGATGGAAGAATCCATCAAGGCAATGAACGTGGGAGCAACCGATGAGGTGGCAGTCCCGACTGATGGCCCGGCTGGCGAGCTCGGTTATTTGACAAACGCTTATGAGCCCGGAAGAGATGGTCATGTAGGTGCCCTTCTAATAGTTACATGCATCTTCATCAAATGGCTTTTAACTAATCGACGTTGTATTACAGCTCCACTTCAAGGTTCGTTACAATGTCCAAGACTTCCTGCCAGAGGACGTAGAGGTAACCATGAGAGGCAACTGCTTAGTTGTGCATGGAAAGAAGACAGAGGATACGGCTGATGGTGGAGTGCATACTCGCGAATTCTGCCGTACGGTGGTTGTTCCGAACAAAGTGAACAAGGACAACATCCATGCTTCCTTGACTTCTGTAAGTCAATGACCTGTTGTAGGCGGTGTTATGTTGAGGACCTTTCTTAAACCTGTTTTCTGCCTCGTAGGACGGTGTGCTGGTTGTGGATGCGCCGCTGAAAGAACCCGACTACAGCATCTACAGGTTCGACGACGACCGGAAGCTTTGGATTGCTGCAAAACCGCATGGAGAAGCACCGGCTGGGATGGACCTTGCTATCACCGGTAAGTATTTGCCACTTCTTTTACCCGATATATCTTGATTGCTTCCCCTGCATCACCGTCCTTCACCTTTTTTTTCCACGCAGGCAAGGACGGTGCCGTTGTGATGGGTGATGCGGAACACAGGAAATTGCATTTGGAGGCGCCTGTGGATTCGCACTTGGAGCCGAAGGACATCACTGTCAGGGTGGATGCAAACAGATTGCGTATCAGTGGCGCACATGCTGAAAAACATGACCAGAGTATCGGCACTGGTGAAGTTCACAGCTCTGAAAGAATGATTTTCTGCAAGTCCTATGCTCTTCCTCAAATTATTGACGCCTGCGCAGCCACTGTGGTTCTGAAGGATCATCGACTTGTGCTGGAGGCTCCGCTCATGAAATTCTGAGTCTTTATCGAAGTTGTTAATTCTTTTTCTGTTTATAATAAATTTTGGAAATGAGCTTGCTATCTTTCGCCAGGAGTTGCCTTCGTGTCTGGTCTTATGCCGCACCGACATTTGGATTTGCGGAAGGGGTTGTGTTAGTGTCATCGGTCTCCTTCTTTGAACCTACGGCTGAGTTATAATTCATGCGGCTTGTTTATGTCTTTTAAGAACGTCACCCTGGGAGTCGAAACGACTGTCTCTGGCATCAGCGGGGAGTCGACAGCATAGTGGGAACCGAACCGGGGGGCGGGGGGGAGCTGGGGGTAGTATTCAGTCATATGGAATCGAGTGGAAAGGTAAACATAGGAAGGCGGCCAGCAGTCGAGGGAGGAAGGGAACAGCCTTCATAAGAGGTAAACAATCATTTTGTAGGTCGGACGGGGGTTTCGCTGGAGAAAGGACGGGGAGGATTCAGGCTTGTTCAGCGGAAAATAAAACTCCTCATCCTTTTTTCCTTTTCTTCCATGTGATATTAGCGTCAGTAATAGTACCCGCACTACCATCACTCAGCTGCACTGCTAGTAAGCAACCGTATAAAATAGTAGTAGCAGTACCAGCCTTTGTTTCCTTGAAGTGGATGGCTAGGCTTCACTATAGGAGGATTCAGGGATCGGAAACAGGACTATATGCACTTCTGGGACTTTAGCGCATAGTTACCTGTTCGCATTTCCTTTCGAGATTGGCGTCGTATAAGCTACTCCGACCGTGTATGCTTCCTAGGTATACCACTGCCGTTGGCCACGATTGTGCACCCACAGACCTAATATGCTGATTATGCGGCAAATTTCATTGAAAGTCTGTGAAAAATAATATGTTCAGTGGTCTCTAGGTGGGAAACTAACAGATTACACCTACCCAACG